CAGAGTGCATTTCAGTGGCAGCGATCCTTATCTTGAACTGTCTCTCCCCTCTTTGCTGCTGTGCTGCCGCTGCTATCACCTCCTCCCAGAATCCAACACCTACCCCCGCCCCCACACAAACCCCCCATACCCCCCCCCCCATCCACCTCCCCACCTTTCACAAGAGGGAAACACTGTAATCTCATTATTGGGGTAATTTAGAGACAATGTCAGGGCTCAGGGAGAGAGAGTCAGTATCTGTGTGCCTTTGTAGGCGTGTGAGTGCTTATGTGTGTGCATGTGTGAGGGATAGAGAGAGAGAGAGGGAGAGAGAGAGAAAGGTTGCTCATTCATGTCACCAAAACCAGTATTTTTAGATAATTGTTGTCTTTAAAATGAATTGGAAATTGTTTTTATCCTCGTTTTCAGGGTATTATTTATATATAGTAATGTCCCAAACGGCATGCTATACATGTTAGGGCTTTCATACTTGCAGAGAACTCCTGGAACAACTCCTGATATTTCCAGGAGGAGCTACATGTGTGAACGCAAAAAGCCAAATTTTTCACTCAGACTTCACCCGGAGTTTCTCCTGGCAGCCCCCTACCTACTATTTTTTCTGCTGAGCTGAAGTGAGAACACAGCAGGATATTCTCTGGAGAATTCACCTCAAGTCAATGGAAGGGGGGAATTAGGTTTTATATATTGTAATGGAGTTATAGAGTGTATGCATGCGACCGCTTTGATCTCAAGCACGGAAATTAAACGGCTGCATTATTTCGCCTGTTCATTAGTATGTTGACAACGGCCTCTCTATGACCAACACTGCTCTGTTACTAAAGAGCGCTGGTGACGTCGACAGTGGCTTTCTTTGCTGAAAAGACGCTGGGCGTTGCGGTTTCTCTCCAGGCGGCCGCTTTCTGCTGTAAACGCTCTCTCCTCATTGGAAACAACTAGGTGGACACTAGGTGGACACGGGGGCCTCAGGGTCTTGTTGTGTAATTTGTCACTCTTTCAAACTTTCACATTTTACTCATCTTTGTCAAATTATCTTTTCCTTTCATCGCTTTGTTGTCACAGTCCAAAGCGTTCTATTGGACAATCCATCAATTCCAGCCATTCAAAAAAAAAAAGAAAAGAAAAAAGAAAGCTATTTGGACATCGTCCATTAAGGAAGTGACTGTGAAGTCTCATCCAGCTTTTCATTTAAACTTCGGCGACGGTGAGGAAACAGGAGATGGATGCTGCTGCTTAACCAACAGGAGCCAATTTAATTACAATCCTGATATTAACATCACGAGGAAGTGATGGACGCACAAAGGCCAGCAGCAGAGCGGCATGCACACACACTGAGGAATAAGAGCCGTCGAATCACAACCAAAGCAAACGATTGATTCAAAGCGACCCAGGAGCTTAGTTTGAGTGTGTATTACAGTGTAGGATCAGGAGTGGGGGTGTTATATATCTTTCTGTAGCTGAATCTTCTGGTGAACCTGCCATGCAGCTTGCATGCCAACGCTCTCCGACAGCGAGTCAGTGGGCTGTAAAATTAAACGTCCTTTTCCTTCAGCAAACCCTGATGTTTTGCTTATACGACACTATCTTACATAACCGTAATAATGGCAGCCATTATGGCCCCTAACTCAAAAATGCATTTCAGAGGCGGGGGTGTGATGGAGGAAGTGGTCACAGGTAGACGAAGGGGACAGTGGAAGCTCTGGTGGAGGTAAATGACTGCACTGTGGAGAAACAGCTTCTCCAGAGCTGGAAACACAGTAACTGAAATTGGACAGAGGAGTTTATTAAAAATACCAACAGGGGGTCATCTACATGTTTGAGAATGAGTGTGTGTGTGTGTGTGTGTGTGTGTGTGTGTGTGTGTGTGTGTGTCACTTTGTGACTTCAGGCCTCGGACTGAAGCTAGCGCAGCGGAGAAGAGGCGAGGGGTGAATGAGTCAGACTGCAGGAGTAAATTATATGCGTTATGGCCACAGCGCTGACAGCAGCTCTATTGAAGTCAACCAGCTGCAACAAATAAAAAGGTTGCTAGAGGTCACACAGACCTCTAGTCCAGAATCCTCTGCTGCACAATAAGTGAAGACGGCCAGTGTTCTCTTTCTACTGTTGAAACTAGGGATGTGAATCTTTCAAGATCTCACGATTTGATTGATTCAAAATCAATGTTTTTTATTGAAACTGATTCATGATTTATTTCAGGATTTACTACACTCTGCTGTGAACCATGAAACTACCAATTATCTGACATTAAAGAAATCACAATAAAATGTGTTCAAGATATTAAAGATTTAACATTTTTATCAGCTGGTTGCAATACTGCAAATACACAGAGGAAAACCTAAAACAAAGATTACATTGATTTATGCTTAACTTGCTTTATTTTTGAAACAATGACATGATCATAAATCTAAAGCCTTTAAGAGATGATGCTGTAGATCAACAGATCTGTGAAATGAAACAGACGGTGGATCCTGCTATTTTACGTCGTGTGTGTGTCTGCTGTTGTTGGCTCTTAGTTATTTCTCTAATTTCCACTCCAGGAGGTGGTGTATGATGTGAGCTCGGGCATTTAAATTGTCCTCAAAGTACTTTGATTTCATTTTGCAGAACTTTTATAGTGATATGCTTGGCTTCCTCTTAGAATCTAAAGTGCACCCTGAAGACGGCACAAGGTGAATGTCTTAATGGTACAAAATATAGCAGTATGTTACTATGTGGGACGCAGCCATCCATTATCAACACTGAGAGCTGGCTGGTGTTAGCAGCTGAACTGTCGACACAGGACCGACACACCACATGCTGCATCAGAGCACCAAGGAAGCTAGTGAGGGTGCACAGAAGAGAATGTCACTCGTGGGTTTGATGTGCTCAAACTACCTGCTGGTGAACATTTTTAAAGGAAAGTATGTTTTCGATACTTCGATACGAATTGAAACAGTTCAGAATTATAGAAATGAAAAATTGCAATTCTGACGTGAATACATTTTTTCCCACACTCCTACTTGAAACCTCTATGACTCGCAAGTGAGCTCAACTTACCGGACTATGTCCATGGCCTGATAGATGATTTCTGATTGGTCCACTGCTATGACCTTCTTGGCCCCAGATTTGGCAGCAAACATGGACAATATGCACGTTCCGCAGCCAACGTCGAGCACCACCTGAAGGAGAGGTGGAGGACGGGGGGGGGGGGTGAGACAAAGGGTTATTAATCCAGGACTCACAAATACAAACAGCTCAGGATATGAATGTACAATTTCAACATTTTAAGAAAACTGCCACAGGGAAAAAAATCATTCTCAGCCCACATAGCTCTCAGTTATACAATTCATTTCTAATAAATTTTAGATTTAATCTTGTAGTGGCTCTTCCATAGTTTGGCAGTTTTAATGCTTTAAAGAGGAGCCACATACATTACACTGTTAAAGCTTTATTCATTTCAAAGCATGACTTTTCAGAGACAGACTTTCTTTGGATGCAGCAGTTGTCATATCGACTTTTTTCTTGGGTTTGCTTTCTTGATCTTTAAGATTCTTAACTTTAAAAAATCCATGTTTCAGGATCTAGAACCAGTAGGTGAAGAGCAGTCCAATGACATGTTATCTTGCCGTATAAAATAAAACAAGAAGGAAACAGTATGGCGACAAAAAAACAAGCAATAACTTTCGTGAAGCCTTGAGTACTGGATGGAAATTACTTTGAAGGATGGTACAATCTTCAACTTGCCAGAGACCTCCAGCTGCTTCCTTATCAAATACAATCTCGGAATTAAGCCATTCAATTTGATGTTTTTGTCACGCTGGGCTTCCCCAAGTCCTCATCATCTTTACTTATTTAAGTGCTTCCGAATCCTCGGGACAATCAAGAAACTTTTCCACTCAGGCTTTTGTTGCTGTCGACTGAGTTTTTAATCACCTCTATTTCAGGTTCCTATAGGTTGCGGTTAATTTGTTCATCTTCGCCCCCCCGACTGGTGTTAAATGACCGTGGCACAGCTGCGATGACTATACGCCCCAGATATATGTAACACTGTTTATGTGCCTCTCTATTTAAGGCCACTTTAACATCTTTGTTAGTATCCCGCTGCCTTTATGGGTTCACAGAGGGTCGCCCAACACGCTGCTGACTCAGCTCCGTGCTCCCATCTCAATCTCTTTCGGCTGCCCTACCATCTTACTGAAACAAGAATATCCGCTTTGTTCTCCATCTGACGCTCCCTGTAGAAGGTGACACTTCCCCTCTCTGCTGAATGTTTCGCCCTGACAGGGATAATGTACGTTCCCATCAACACAGCCTGCCTCCCTCCTCTGCAGCCTCATCCCAGCACTAACCAGCAGCCGCCCATATAATGGATGGTCATGATCCAGGCCGCTGCTTCCTGCAACTAAATGCAATGGAAAGGAAATGGGTGGGGGTGAGTTGGAAGGGTTTTTGGGGAGATGGGGTGGAGGGGGGGTTGTTATGGGTTCGGTTGGTGGATTGCATGTGTCTCTTATCAGCACCCAGCAGTCGACATTCGAGGTGCTAATAAAGTCGCGCTGTGTTTTAAATCACACGCCATCGCCTTATTAATGCGTTTCCTTCAAAATGCAACACGCCTAGTTTCTCTTAATGGGCTCGGTTCTCCTGCACATGCTGCATACACACACACACACACGTCCATGCACATGTATGTTTGCATTCAGTCAGCTGGCTCACCTTGTCTTTGAACACTTCAGGGTTGCGGTACATGAAGTTGCGGTAGCTCTCTGTGCGCACTTTGTCCTGCAGAGAGAATAAACAAACATAAACAACTCAAAGATTGATTTGGCAAAAAGAGAAAATAATGAAACATTTTGATGTGAATGACGAGTATTTCAATGTGCTGCAAGGTGTCTTTGTGTTTATGACATTTTGTAGAACATCAGTGTCCCACAAGCTTTATGACTGTGTGTATTTGGACACTTCTGCTGTTATGTGACTTTGAAGTTCACACTTATAATCGCCCCTCTTGGGGAAAAATAAACCCTTAAAGCGAGGCATATGAAGTTTTCATTCAAAACCAGCAGATCAAGAAACACAGCGTAGGGAATAATGTGTGCTGTAACTTCAGCTAAGAGGCACCCCGATGTTTTTTATTCCAGAAGAGGTCAAGTCAGGATTCACTAATGAACCTGCCAATCAATTCCACCCACATCCCCTCCTTTCTGTAGAGAAAGCTACAGAGTCTGTAACAATGACAGTAACATGAATGGTTGTAAGATGTAGTGAAATTGAGGACGTTTAATAATTGATTTGAACTGAACCTAGACCTCCTGAATGATATACTTACACAACAGAAGCTTTTTAATAAATCTTTAGTGATGTGAACACAAAGACCACAGAGACTCGTTGATAGCTGAATGCACTCACACGCCTACCTACAACAGTCAAACAAGCTCTGATATTTGAATATACTTAACACAAGGTGTAGTGACTATCCAATAGAGCTGGGAATCTTTGGGTTTCTTATGATAAAGAGCTGGCTTTAGCACTTAGCAGGGAGTGACCGATTTTTTTTTTTTGAAGTTATGAATCGATTTAAAATCTCAGAAGAGTCTCAATTTTTACATAAAGCAATTTTTTTCCCCCACCTTTACTATCCAATGTCCACATTTCTAAATCATATTTTTAGTCAGCTGCATAGGTGTAAGAGCTCAAGTATACTTGCTTTTGAACCATGCGTATGCGTAGACAACCGGCAGCGTTGTGAACATAAATGTATCTCCTACCTGAAGGCAGAAGCTCAAATTCACCAAACAGAGGATGTGGAGGATACTGTCAGATGTCTTGGGCCTTAGCTGCAGCTCACTACTGAGGCAACTAGCAAAAAAACTAACAAAAAAAAAATCTAATACTAACAGTACTGAAGTGACAAAAAAAGGAAGAGGGTTTTTTTTTTTCAGATTAATGCTACAAGTTAAAAGTGTTTTAAATTTAAAAAGGAGTGCTATACACCCGACTGCAGAACTCGGAAACATACACCACACACACTGTACTCTCTCTCTCTCACACTCACACACACACACACACACAGTGCATCATACATCTGACCTGTATAAAACTTGACTACTTTCTACCGCAAAGCCCCTCACCACGTGCTCTCCGCCCCTCCAGAGACTATGATGGAGTTTACGGCTTGACGCACACACACATGACGCAAAACTTAACAGTGCAAACCTCCAATCAGGACGGCCGACAGAAATATATCTAAGCACTGCGGAAAGTAGAACAGGAAGGGAGGAGACAAAGCGGACCCCCCCCTCTCACACACACACACACACACACCAACCTCTTTGGGCTTGCTGACACTTTGAGGTTTCAGAGCTTGAGGAGTGTAAAAATTAATTTCCACGTTTCGAGCACGCTGCTGTCTCACATGAGAGCTCATCGCTTTATTGCTGATTTGACACTTTAGAGAAAACGTCTTGTCGTCGGATCAGTGTGTGCACACAAAGACGCTCATTTTCATTTACGTGCTACAGCGAAATCCTTCAGCCAAGACTTGCGCTGATGAACTGGTTTTTGCTCTGCTGTGACACCTAGACCCCGCGGGAATGACTCATGAGACTTTGATGAGACCTGCATGTCGTGTGTGTGTGTGTGTTTGTGTGTGTGTGTGTGTGCGTGTGTTTGCACATCTCAGACCTTCAGCATCTCCTCGTGGATGCTGTGATGCCCGTAGGAGCTGAAGTAGGCCTCGTCTTCGTCCTCTCGGAGCTCGGCCACGGTGCCCAGGTTGCCGGATTTGCCCGTCCCTGCGTTCAGCACCAAACCCTGAGCCAGCAGCCTGAGAGAACAGCGAAGAGATCTGTTTTAAACTTCTAATATTAGAACACGGGACAAAAGCAGCAACCAGAAAACACAAAAGCACACACAACCTTCATGCAGGACGAAGCAGTAAATGGAGTAGATGGGAGGCATTTATCTTTCTAACACTCTTCCAACAACCCCCTCCCCACCCCCCCCCCCCCAACCTCACTCTTTCTGTAATTTTCCTTTATTGCCCCCCCGCCTCCTTCCTTCCACCCCTCCTCACTTTAACCTCCATGCTGCAGTGGAATTTTCCCTTCCCTCTTTTATCTTTCCCCTTCCTCCAAACTTCTTCCACAAGGTACTCTAGTAGTTGATGTTTCTGCAAAACAGTGTTCACTGTGTCCCCCTGCTGGCTGCAGGAGGACAGTGCAGGACTAAACTCACACTTCAAGCTCTCATGAACAGATGAACAAAAGAAAAGACTGATCTAAGAGAGGCAAGATAGAAATGAACAGCACTACCTTGGTATTAAAAGAAAAACATGGAAAGATGTGACTGACTTGAGTTTGTGAAGGTCATCCATGGCTCGGGCCAGCGCCTCCTCCGAGCGACGAGCTCTCTCCTCAGCGGCCTGTGCCCTCTGCAGCACTGCATTATGGGACTCTCCCCCAGAAGACGGGCACGTAGACAGGACTGACCCCCCAACACTACAGAGCTCCTCAGGGTCTGCCAGAAACACAGAAAAGGGGATTATAATCTAAAATGTAAAACATAAACTGAACATAATAACCGAAACGGTTATTGTCAAAGATTTAAAATACAACACAATCATTCACATTTTGTGTCTTCTGTCACTTATCTTCAGGTTGCTTTTTTTATTCCAAGATATAAATGATGTCACAGTAATAAAAAAATGCAGTGCTTTCAAATGGACACATCGGAGAAGACGCAAATAGACGGATTTCTCCTGCCAGGGTCAATGCTGCAAAGCTGGGAGCTGGGAGCTGAATTACGTCTGTCACTCTTAAGAGTTCTTTGGGTTTAACTTGGGCTTTTTTGCATCTACATGTAAAACTAAATCCTGCTGAAAACTAAATTGCATTTAAATATAGTGGGAAATAAAAAATCCTAAAGACCGTTTTATAAATAACGGCAGCACAAGAAAAAAAGACGCCTGTATTTTATGTATGACATAATAATTAAATAAAAAACTTAAAACAACCACAGAAAACATGTGAGGGCAGAGTCATCATGTTTGGGGGGGGGGGAGCTGCATACTGAACCTTCCACACCTTTTACGAGAGCTAAGACCATGAGGAAAAAAATGAAACAAACTCCACCCTGATAAATGAGAGTAACAGGATATATGTAGGTGGGTGAGTTCCAAGAGAAGCTCTGTTACTCAACCTGCACCTAACACCTATACTGAACCTACATCTGTGCTTTCAGGTGATGAGGTGTTTCTGTACCTGTCTGCAGCAGGAGGTCATCCTGTAGGACAGGTCGCAGGAAGTCTTCACTCTCCCAGGGTAAGGGAGCGTCCGGTAGCCCCGTAAGACTGGATGCGTCGCATTTCTTGAAAACACAGATTTGTTTAAACAAAAGAACAACAGCATTAATCTATTTCCCCGTTTTAAAGGAAGAACGTGCAACATTTTACACGTAAATTTAGCAGAAATCAAAAGTCTCTCTGAGTCATGACTGTCTACAATAAGTGAGAAGCTCGAGTCCCCCCAGCTGTGTTGTTGTCAGAGCCGGTTATAAAGCTGTTTTAGTCAAGGACTAGAGAAAAGAAGAATATAACATACTCACTGATTATTTGGATGTCACATAAGTGTTTTTTTAGATCTCGGTCATTCTTTATAAATTTATGTGCAATATGAAGCTATGAGGTAACTGAAGTGTGCTAACATTAGCCCGCTAACACAACGATGCGGGACACAGGTGATTACAGCTCGAGCAAATGACAATTTTGTGGAGAGGGGTTAGAGGTGTGTCTCTGGAGGAGAGCGGAGGCTTCAGAATAGCGGAGGTGTCGACAAACAGCAGTTTGTTTTGGTTGCATGCTGGTGCTCAAGGGCGACACCTACTGGATCAAAAAGTCACACATTCTTCCTTTAAAGTTGAGTTACAATATTTGACTCTTGTGCAGCCATGATAACAGGGTACATGACAAACTAAAAGA